GGAACAACCCGAACAGTTGGTCACCCTGGCTGTACCCCCTTTGGGGTGAGAGAGTGAGTAAATCCTGGCTGGGCATGTGTCCTCCTGCCCTTACACCCTCTTCCCGCAAACAGGCCTGGGGTGGCTTCTCTGCTTGGGGTGACAAGAAGGTAGAAAAGACCCATTTGAAATTAGAAGAGGAAAGAGGAAGTTCTGAGATCTCAAAGAGCCTGCCTCTCCTCAAACTCAAGCTTACCTGGGCACACAGATCCTCAGCTAGGGCCCACTTGAGGCTCCTGTCTGTTGGGTTCTCCTGTGAGGCCAGGTGGCAGGAGGTGGCAGGTGTGCAGGTGCCCAGTTAAATGCCGCCTGACAGTCAGAAACAGGTGTTTAACGTTTCCTGGGGCACACTGCTCTCACAGGCAAGGCGACTGGGCGTGTGCCTGCACACGTGCTCCCCCAACTGGCACCTTCACCTGCCACTGTGCTGCTGGGCCCACGCACTCCTGCACGGTAACCAGAGCTTAAGCAAAACACCCACGGAGTTCAAACTATGCAAATAGACACTCACACACTCAGATGGATGCAGGGAAGGGGAGGGGGGGCTGGGAAATAGCACAGGAGGCAGAAGATTCCTGGGGATACTATGGGGCATGTGTGCAGGGAGTCCAGAAGTGGCACCTCTGTTCAGGAGCCAGTGGTGGCCGTGTGCACAGTACACACACTTCCCCAGGCTCCTTTCCCTGCCGGTCTCCAGCCAGGCTCCAGTTTGGCATTAGTTTTGGGGCAGGCCCTGAATGTCAAGAGATGCTCCCCACCCTCTCCCTGCCAAGCAGGGGCAGCCAGACCTGTGTGGGTACCAGGGCCTCTGGCACAGCTTCCCGGGAGACCGGGCAGGCCCGGGCGTGATGCACAAGGGAGTAGGTGTATGGGGTGGCTCTGAAGAAAGCCCAGCTGGGCTCAGCAGGGCGGGAGAGTTGAAAGGCCCCTGGCAGCTCCCCAAGCTCTTGTGCCTGGGCAAGGAAAGCACAGCCTGAAACTCCTGGTTTCTGAAGGGTGGGAAGGCGGGATTTTTTGAGGCCTGCTCCGTTCAGGCTACCTCCCAGATTCTGTCATTCCTTTGAGGCCAGAGGGGCTGCCAAGCATGTCGGGCACCGAATCATAGGCTTCCAGAAACTCAGCTAGGCTGGTGCCCTCGTTTCCCACCGAATATGGGAAGAATTTGCTGAAGACATTGTTCCTTTGACCAGGGTTCTACAAACACTGTGAAATGAACCCTCTTAGGTACAGACAGCAGCTGCAAATGGGGTCCTAAGAACACTGATGGTTTTCCTGGAGGTGCCAGACACTATTTTAAGCACTTTCTGAATATTAACCCCTTCAGTTCCTACCATGCCCCTAGAAAGTAGGAACCCTTATTGTTGTCTCTGTTTTTTAGAAATGAGAAAGTTACCTGCCCAAATTCACACAGCTAGCATGTGGCAGGGCTGGGATTTGAACCCAGGACACTTTACCTGAACTTAAATTCTTTCTGTTTCTTTGGGAATCAAGCAGACAACCATTTAGGAATAGGTGGGAAATGGCTTAGGAAGTAAGTGTTACAAACCTGAGTGCCTACAGGGCCAGGAGGTGAAATAAATGTGTGACTCAGGCTGGATAGGGAGGCCGGTGCTCCAACTGGAGAGTGTATAGGCAACCAGGTGTCCCTATGCAAATTCCCTAAAAATAAAACTCGCCTAAGGCCATTTTGGGGCTTAGAGCAGCTCTAACCTAAACCCAGGGCACTTGGGGCTGAAAACGGACCCCAGCCAGGAAAATGTGGCCTGTGAGGGCATACCACTTGTTTGGGGGGGATGGTTTGAAAGGCCACAGAAGCAGCAAAGGGTAGAGATGGACCAATGACTTAACGTGGGGAGCTGCCTGTCACCGGAGGAACAAGGCTCATGTTAGCCTAAGTCAGATGCCACACTCCCATGGCTAGGAGGCGGGGGGCCAACGAGGCTACTCCAGCTCCAGGGCTCATCAAGCAACACCGATTCCTCCACTCTAGGATTTCAGCTTCAGCCCAGACACTCCAAGTTCCTTGCTATAATCCTTTGATCTGCTTTTCTGACCCGTTAAAAGGAGAGTGATATCATAGTAGAGAACGAACCTACACATGTGCCGATTTTCAGTTGTTTTTGACCTACAAAAACATTCATTTCATACGGTTCAACCCTATAATTGTCCTACCTACCGTGCAAGGTGCAGAGAATAAATGAAAATGCTTAAAGCCAAAGGCTCACTGCCACGCACAGCAGTTGCTCAGTGAGTGCTTGGTGAATGTAAATGCTGGTTGCAGAGCCAGGTGGGCACAGCCTTCCTTGCTCACTTCTGGCCAAAGCCAGCGTGTTGGAGACACCTCAGGCAAAGCAGTTCTTTGAGGGAAATTCACGTCCACACAGCTCCTCCTGGATAGTCCCCTCGCCCCCATTCCCACCACAACAGCCAGAATCAGAACAGTCATCGTGGCCAGTTTTCAGCTGTAGACAGACAACCGCCCAAGGCCACCAGACAGGGCAGACGATGCAGTCGCTTAGGTGCGGCGCAGGCCAAGCTCATGCTGCGTCGGGTTTTGCGGACTGCACGGTCCCCTTGAGTGTAGGCAGAGCTTAATGGATGCGCCCCGGGTAGGAGGCGCTCTCCGGCTGTTGGCCGTGACGCACAGACCTCTTGGAGAATGTGGCACAAAGGAGCGGGAGGTGGCGGCTACGGCCAAGGAACTCCGTTCCCCTCTGAGAGGAAGGGTGGCCCCAGGCCCGCGCCTCAATAAAGACAGCTGGCGGTGGTACCGAGGGGCGAGCAAGAGTGGGGACGCCTGGTCCCTCGGGTTGGCGCGCGCCCACCTGGAGAGGATCCCACGGCCGGCCATTGGGACTCCTGGGACGGCAGAGACGTGGCGAGCATTCCCTCCGCCGCCGGGAGGGGATGGTGACCGCCGGCCCGCGGGCGGTGGCGTGGTGCCCCCTCCCCGTCCAGAGCAAGCCCACGTTTCTACCGGCCAGAGGACAGGGAGGGCGGACCTCGCTCCCCCAATTCTGCAGGGAAAGCCCCGCAGGCCAGCGAGCAGGCTGGCAGGTGTGACCGGG